CAGGAAGGATGCAACTCTAGTGCATGGGGCTGGTTAATTAGCCTGATTGCCGACTTGGCCTCAGCATCCGTGCGTGCGTCGTTGGCATTCTCCTTCTGCAGCTCCTGCTTAGGGTTTCAGGGTTTAGGGGGTAGGGTTTAGGGTTCAGGGTTTTTAAGTAAATTTGGTACTTGAAAGAAGAAAAGCAACACCAAGTGGCATCACGCAGCAGGATGCTGTACACAGATTTCAGGACCAAACAGGGTCCAGCAAAGAACCTAAAGCAGCAAGACTTGAAGCACAACTCTTTATCTACGTGGGATGCACCTTCAAGTAAGGTCATCATCCGTTACAATTTGGAAGTTTACAGGTTTAGGACTCTAGGGTTGTGCAACACTGCTGCTGGGGTTTAGCAGCAAACCTTGCTTGTATCAAGGGAGCCTAGCTTGGACCCCCAAGGATTTACCCGGAGAGGTTCCCTTAGTCTACTCCTAATATGGCCCTTGTATTCCCTGAGGGGATCTTTCCAAAGCGGTCCCCAACCCGAGGATGCAACCTTAGGGGTCCAAAGGTAAAGTCCCAGGGTTTTGGCTAGCCTGAAGCTGTCAACCCCTAAACCAAAACCCTGAACCCTGAACCCTGAACCCTAAACCCTAAACCCGAAACCCTGAACCCTGAACCCTGAACCCTGAACCCTAAACCCTAAACCCTAAACCCTAAACCCTAAACCCTAAACCCTAAACCCTAAACCCTAAACCCTAAACCCTAAACCCTAAACCCTAAACCATCCAGCCGCCAACGCCTGCTGAAAGGCCCAGTGGTCCACCTGTCTTCAGGTAGTTACATGGTAATGGGGACCTCTTATATGGGTGGCTGTCGAAATTAAAATAAGGGTTTAGGGTTTAAGTTTCAATCCCTTTTGGGGTACCCTAAATATTAGGTGCCGCACTGTAATAGGGACCCAAAAGGGACCACAGTTTTGACAACCACCCATATACACCTCGTATTCCCCTTTACAACCCAAGGGCCCATTCTTCACCTTTAAAGGAGGTAAGGGGACCAGATGAAGGGACCATGCAACTGCCCTTAGGAGCCTGGGAATCGGAGTGACGATGCTTATGGATCACATCCACTCGGGGAGGGGCAAACAACGTGCCGTGGCGCAGTTCGGGTTTAGGGTTTAGGGTTTAGGGTTTATAAGGTTTAGGGTTTAGGGTTTAGGGTTTGGGGTTTAGGGTTTAGGGTTTCCTTCAAGGCTGAGGCTTCAGAAGCCTAGGCTTTGGGATGTTCCCCACTTATGCTAACATTCCTTAACAGGGATGAACATAGGAGGTACTGGACTCCCGAGTCAGGACTATTAGTATAAGGGGAAACATCCCAACTTAGGCCCAAAATAGCCCACACTTCTCTTCTGGGAAGGCCATTAAGCCTTGGGCTTCCCAAAAAAGCCCTCAACGTAAGAGTCCTTGGAGCCTAGTGAGCCCTAAGGTAGTAGAAACGTGGTAGCCCAGTAACCATATTCTGATAAGGGCACCCTTTTTTGTTGGGTTGGCTTGTTGGTTACCTTACAAAGGGAACCCGGACCCAAAATAGAAGGGCAAAGGGTACCACTGGGCTTCTAATAGAGGTTCTATGGGGGGGGGGGGGAGTGTTCAGGGTTTAGGGTCTAGGGTTTAGGGTTTAGGGCTTAGGGTTTAGGGTTTAGGGTTTAGGGTTAGGGTTTTTAAGCGATGTGGGTTTTCAGACGTGGGGGCTTGCACTAGTGAGCCGCCCAAGATGCAAAAGCTGCAGAGTTTTTTTTGGCGCCTATCCCTATCCCTAAACTCTCAGCCCTGAGCCCTGAACCCTAAACCCTAAACCCTGAACCCGAAACCCTAAACCCTGAGCCCTGAACCCGATGCCGGCCGTCGGTACGCCAGACCGGACCTTATAAGCTGTGCCCCCCGAAAACCCCCAGCAAAACCAAAACAAAAAAATAGTTTTTTAGATGAAAACTCCTCGAAAACCGAGCCAGATTTTTCAACAATGTTGGGCCCTTTTTGTACCTGGAAGCTGCTTCATGAAGCCCACGCTGAGCCAACAGAGACCGGCAAAACTGCGGTTCAGGGATTAGGGCTTAGGGTTTTGGTTTTAGGGTTCTATCGTGACCGCCATTCCATATGAGATGGGTGGGATCAGCCCGACCAATACCCTAAACCCTAAACCCTAGCCCTAAACCCTAAGCCCTAAGCCCTAAACCCTAAACCCTAAGTAAAACCTTTAAGCTAGAACATCAAAAGACTGAAGGAGCTCCAGGTCTCAGGATGTACAGAAAATTCGAAGGAATGAAAGGGCACCCTCTTTTGGCGCTCAAAATGGGCTTGGGGTTTAGGGTTTAGGGTTTAGGGTTTACGGTTTAGGTTTAGGGTTTAGGAGCCTGTATATAAGCCCAAAAAAAAGGAAATCTGGGCCTACGCTGGGTCCTAGATAACATCTTCGAGCCTGTCTCTCTTATCCGAGGGTACCTGAATTTGCAGTTCATTACAAATAGCAAACACAGGTGCTGCTGCCCTAAAGCCTGCAGCCTAAACCCTAAACCGTCAAGGGGTGGGACTGATGCCATGATGCCAGGCACCGGGGAAATTTGAAGTGGCTGTGCAGTGTCCGTAGCAGGGTTTGGTGGCATACCGGTTAGCAAGCTCGAAGCAAGCCCAAACCTGGTATTTGCTTGAGAACAACCCCCCCCCCCCCAAAAAAAAAAAAAAAAAAGAGCCTTCCTTATGAAGGGAAATATGGGAATGATTATCTTGTATTTTCTGCGGTCCTTAAGCGAGTAGTAGTAGCCCCAAACCCTGACTAAACCCCGAACCCTGGAGGGCCTTGCCCTGCATGTGCCCGGTTTGCTGCATCCTGAGACGCTTTGGGTACAGCTAGGACCCTAAACCCTAAACCCTAAACCCCAAACCCCAAACCCTAAACCCTAAACCCTAAACTGCCCTAAACCCTAAACCCCAAATAGGCCCTAAACCCTAAACTAGGACAGATCTGTTGCCACATTGCACGGGGACTGAACCCATGAGTTGCAGAAGGTTTTGAAAGGCTCGACCCTAAACCCTAAACCCTAAACCCTAAACCCTGAACTGTAAGGTTCCTCTCGGGCCAGTAGGGCTTTTCGGGCCTTAACCATGAACTCTGAACCCCAAAAACCCTCAGCCCTTACAGGGCCCAGGAACCCTAAACCCTGAACCCTAAACTGAGACTCTAACGTTTTTCGACTTCTCAGGGGTTTGGCTCGACTTTAGACGTGTGGGCATAGCTATACTCCCCTTAGAACTTAAAAAAAGTGTGCAGCCTTACCTTGGGTCTTATACGAATACAAAATCTAAGGGGCCTTTTGTGAGGATACAGGATGCTGAAGTAACCGAAGTCTTCTCTTCAGGATGTCGGGTCTTCGGGGCTTATAGGGGCCCTGGAATTCTGGGCCCCATGCACATCTGGGTAGTTCTCAAAGTTAGGGTCCCTTTTTTGGGTCCCGTATATCGTACGGCACCAGACAAACAAGGACCCCCCCAGAAAAGGGAGAACTACCCAAAGAGCCCAATACCCCTTAATTAAGGAATTTTCCTTAAATCATACTAAGGATCCCTTTATAATTTAAGGTCTATTCCTTAATTAAGGAATATTCCCTAAATCATACTAAGGATCCCTTTGTAATTTACGGTATATTCCTTAAATAACGGGTATTGGGCTCTCTGGATACCCACATACGTCCACAGCTTGCAGCGGGGCGGCACAAGACTCTCCTGGTTCAGATCAGCTTCCTTCCAGGCTGCCTGGGCGTAAGAGTATGCATCTTGCGGATGTGATTAAGGAATAGACCTCAAAGGAATATTCCAGAATTAAGGGGTATTGGGCTCTTGGGGGGTATGCCTTGAGGTTGCACCCTCATCCCGTAAGTAGCCAAAGGGCACATTTGCCCAATCCGTACAGAAAGGTCGATTCCCAAACATCCCAGGGACCCCCTGGCCCTTCATCCCAGCCTTGGCATGCGCCTTTTCCTGGTCCGCAATGTCGCGTAGCTCCTACCGAAGAATCGGCAATGCTGAGAGGTCCCTACTGGCATGAAACGTGACAAGTGGGAACGAGTTTTGGCTACGCAGAAAAGATTCGCACTACTGGGCTTACTTGCAGTCCTTACCACAAGTAATTCTATCATATAGTGTGTCGTCTCCGTGCTACTTAAGTGGAACCCTTTTGAACCCCAAACCCCAAAACATACTCCCAAACCCTAAGCCCTAAACCTACTTAAGAGGACCCGAAGCCGTCTCCTCTACATCTTCCTGGACCTCATCCATGTCACGCTCGTCGTCCATCTTCTTGCACTCAGACAGGATCTTCCTGGTCAGGACTGGCTACTTGAAGTTTCATGGTACTTGGGCCCTAAAGCTACCAGATAGGAACCCTTTGACAGCCCAAGTATATACTATATAGGCACATGGAACCTTCGGAAGAGAGCCCAATAACCCTTAATCTAAACCCTAAACCCTACCTCAAAGAGGCAGGTCTCCTGAGCTTCGGAAGCTGCTGTCCAAGTTCTTGACGCTTTCCTCGCTCTCGCACCGGCCACAACCCTAAACAAGGGTTTAGGGTTTAGGGTTTAGGGTTTTTTTTGGCACCCGATTAGCCACAGCAATGCGGGGTTGAAAGGTCGGTCTCGAAGAAAGGCAAAAAAATGCCCCTTGGGATTTGGGATCACTTTCCCTACCCGGAGGATTCTCGCCCTGAGGCATTCAGAGGAGGACATGTGTGGGTTTCTTGGCTACAGCATAGAATTTCTGTCGACCGTCTGACCCGCTCACGTCTATGCCGAACAAGCTTGCTGCTCTGCTCACTGTCTTGTCAACAGATCCGGTGAAAGGCTGTCCCTTGGGCATTGCCATGCCTCCCAATGTGTGTTTGCGACAGTATGACAAAGTTGTCAACCTGCTGAGCATGACCAGCCCTAAGTTGACTATGTCTTCAGTGAGCGATTGGGCAACTGACTAGCGGCTCAGCGGCGTGTCATTGCGAATGCCGGAATGTGCATCAGAATTCACATTCGACCTGTCAATCACCAGGGCATTGTTGGCATAACCCAACTCTGCAGCCAAGGTAATTGCCACAGCCGACGCCTTTGCTATAGCTGCGTCACGACTGATGTGCTCACGAGCCATCTTGAGGTTGTGTTTGAAAGCTGCACCGGTGTACTTAACACGCATCATGGCATTGACATCTTCGGCACTCAGCAGGCGTGGGGCTGCTGCTTCCTGCTTCCCATCACAGTAAAGCAGTTTTACTGCCAAAGTCTTCCTTGCAGTGCACGCAGCACGAAAGGCTTGGGCGTACTCCTCGAGATTCTGGCTTGCAGTTATGTGCCCATCAGTCGCTGCTTGTTCATCAACGATCGTATCCTCACCCGACTCCGGCAACGAGGGTACGCTACCCATGGCAGAAAGAGGCCCGCAATCAAGTCTAGCAAATTTGAGCACTAGATGCTTGAGCCAAAATGGCTACAGGGTTTAGGGTTTCGGGTTTAGGGTTTGGGGTTTAGGGTTTGGGGTTTAGGGATGCCCCAGTCTGTGGCTCTCAAAATCTCATATCCCTCGTCCCAAACTCTACAAACCCCCCCAAAACCTAGAAACCCTAAACCTCAGGCTCTAAGGACTCTTATTTTAGGGTTTTGGGCCCAAAGACCCTCTTAAATAAGGCTTTTTGGGGCTATTTTGAGCCTTAGGGTAGAAGCAACTCGAGGGTCGAATCCAGCGCTCAAAGTCCCGACCCGCGTTATCCACGGCGGCCGCAGCGCGACGGAGCCTTTGAGCTTAAAAGCCCAGAGAGCCCTCTATAGCCCTTAATGGGTTTAGGGTTTAGGGTTTAGGGTTTAGGGTTTTCAAGAAGATGCCTTAAATAACCCTAAACCCTACACCCTGAGCCCTAAACCCTCAACCGATCCTTACCATGATTTGAGGTATTTCCTTTCTTTAATGAAATGTTGGGGGCCCTCTGGGGGACCTTTGTGGTCTTTGGGGTTCTGGGGCTGAGGGCTACCCTAAACCCTAAACCCTAAACCCTAAACCCTAAACCCTAAACCCTAAACCCTAAACCCTAAACCCTAAACCCTATCTCAGTGTTTAGGGTTCGAGGGCTCCAGACTCTAGGCACAGATAGGGGTCTGCGGAAAAATAAGGGAGCCCTAATATAGGCCCCCCAAATAGTAGGATCCCCTTAGAATAAGGACCCCAGTAGGGTACCCCCTAATTTCGGAAACCCCCAGTATAGGGATGTCTGACAGAAATGCCTATACTCCCCTTAGAACCTTAAACAACAATATTCTTTTTGTGTTTATAATATCCTCATGGGTTTTATATGAACAAAAAGAAAAAACAATTCCCAAGCGGGATACAGATGCAGGACGTTAAACGGCTAAACAGAAAGCGTGGGGCTTCGCAGACTGGCGCCCTGGGGTCAACTTGGAGGTTCGTGGTACTTACTAACCACTTATAACTGCACTCGTGACCCACTCATAAGCCCCTTAAGAGCCAAAAACATAGTTAAGAGTACAGTTATAAGTACAGTTATAAGTACAGTTCTCCCTAAACCCTAAACCCTAAACCCTAAACCCTAAACCCTAAACCCTACACCCTAAACCCTAAATGAGTATCATGAACCACCAAGAAGGCTTAGAGCCATCATAAGGAACCGAAGGGGCGCCCCTCCCTTCCACCCCATAGGTTCCTTCTGAAGTCGCGGATGGAGGTCTAGGTGTAAGGTTTCGGGTTAGGGTTAAGGTTTAGGGATTAGGGTTTAGGGTTTCGGGTTTGGGTCTTTAGTCTTTACGGTTTAGGGTTGAGGTTTAAGCGCACAGTCCAAGGAATATCCTTGCTCCTCGATTTGCGGATGCCTACATGCCAGCTATGTACTCATAACAAGGGAAGCTGCCTTAATTTTTGGTTCCTTTTCTACCGGCTGCTTTGGCTGCTCTACGTAGACGAAAGACCAAGCAATGAACAAAGTCCGGCCACAACGTCCCGGAGTAAATTGCAAACCGTTGAAACGCTGCAAGGGTATACTTGGAGAGCCCAAAAAGCCCCAACAAACCCAAGAGGGAACTACATTGGAGCCTTTGGGTAAGCCTACTTCTGGGACCTCCTTGTAGCGTAAAACCCTAAACCCTTAGCCTTTGTCAGGTTTCCCTAACTTCTCCAGTAACCAAGGAATGAAACCAACACAAACCCTCATTACTCATTCTAGATAAGGAAACCCAACAAACATGGAAGTTCAACTATTGGCAAAGTAAGTTCCTTGAGGTGTTGTAGTCTCGCCTGCCCCCGAAACCCTAAACCTTAAACCCTAAACCCTGAAACCAAAACCCGAAACCCTAAACCCTAAACCCTCAACCCGAAACCCTAAACCTTAAACCCTAAACCTTAAACCCGAAACCCTAAACCCTAAACCCTAAACCCTGTGATCCGCTGAATGCTGGGCTTTGCGGCCCCTTGGTGAGACGCTGCTCTGGGCGGCTCCGTCGTTGGATCATGACCTCAGCCACTTTACCCTAAGGATCCATGTACCTATGGGTTTAGGGTTTAGGGTTTAGGGTCTAGGGTCTAGGGTTTAGGGTTTAGGGTTTAGGATTTAGGGCTATATGGTCATCTTTTTAAAACATGGCATACACTTGGGCTTTAAAGGGTTTCCTGTATAGTAGCTTCAGAGTTTAGGGTCCGCTTTACCCCAAGGATCCATGTACCTGTATGGTGATTTCTCTAAAAAATTTGGTCCCCTTTTAGGGGTCCTGACTGATAAGGTGGCCCTGGGACGCAACAGGGACCTTAACTTAGAGCTGGCTAAGGGTATGTACTTGGGCACTAAAGCTACTAACTATACAGGAACCCCTTCAAAGCCCAAGTATATATATATATATATATATTTCTATATCTGTATATATGTATATATATATATACTATATAGGTACATGGATCCCTAGCGTTTCTACGCTCGCTCTTGTCAAAGAGAGAAACGCGTTTAGGGTTTGGGGGTTCGCGGGCTTCGTGGGATTTAGGGGGCTTCGCAGGGTCTAGTGGGTCTTCGTCCATCCGAAGAGGTCTTAGGGTTCAGGAATACGGGTTAGGGGATGTTGGGGCATGGGGCTTTGGTGGGGTGGGCATGAGTTTGATATGGGGCATTGGCTTCGAGGACTCTGAACAGTTCAAAGGTTCAAAACGCAATGCTCGCAACTACTCAAGCTTGTGGATGCTAAAAGACTCGCGTTACGTCCAAGTACTTCTGCATGAAGCCACCCTGTCACCCGACTGAAGCCCTGAACCCCCAACTACAAGAGACTAAAAGCCTTCAGTAGACTGTGGGATCTTCCCTCAAAAAGAAACAGTCCTGAACAGGGATTGTAGTACCCCCTATTATACTCCTACTAACGACAGACTGTTAGTATAAGAGGGAACATCCCAACCCCAAACCCCAAACCCTAAACCCCAAACCCGTTTTAGACTCCACAGCAGCGAGGTGCCAAGGAAGCGTGTTGCAAGTCCTCGGGCTTCGCGTCGCTCATGGGATCCTGGGCACCAATGCTGTGGGCTTCGAGCCTGCTACACAGAAGCATGGGAAGGCTTCCCAAACCCTGTTGTGTATCTTGAATGTCTTTATTTTGTTTTTGTTGCTCTGTTTCCCTGTTCTTCTTTTGGCCGGGCGTGTCCTTTAACCATAGTAGATATTTTGGGGGGTGTACGAATCAAGGGGACCCTTGGGTTTAAGAAGCATGGATTGACGACTAGGACAAGAAACGACGTCGGTGTGCAGTAAGAGTTTCATGGCTACCCTACTATTCGGGTTTCGGGTTTAGGGTACTTGGAAGCTCTTTGACTCTAGTAAGTCTACTTGGTATCCCCTAAAAGCCCTCTTATAAGCACTAACCCACCTCACTAACCGTACTTGCTACACTTGGTAGCCCAGGAACAAGTAAAAAAACTGAGGTTGGCCTTTTTCGGGTTGGTTACTCTAGAAGGACTTCCTATATAGGTTCTTAGTAGCCCAGGAATATTGGTAATAAGGGTACCCTTTTTGGGGGTTGGTTACTTTAGAAGGGAACCTTGAACCCACAAAACGGGCAAAAGGGCCCCTCTGAGCTAGGCAGGGTTCCTACTTGGAGGTTCATGGTATAGGGTTTAGGGTTTAGGGTTTAGGGTTTAGGGATACCTGTACTTTCCAACCCGGATACAACCTTGTTGGGCACTTAAGGGGCTTACAAGTGGTTTAGGGGTTTAGGGGTTAGGGGTTTTGGGGTTTTGGGGTTTAGGGGCTTTAGGGGTTTAGGGGTTTAGGGTGTTTCTAACTGGGTTCATATGAGCACCATGAACCGCCAAGCAGGGTCGCGAAGAGCCCAGGATTTCAGGAACTGGAGGTTCAGGAATTCGTCAACGGTACTTATAAGTTTTAGGGTTTAGGGTTTAGGGTTTAGGGTATAGGGTATAGGGTATAACCCAGTTCTAGCTGTACTTATAACCCACATGTAAGCCTCTCAAGTGCCCAAACATGGTTACACTTGGGTCATCAGTACAGTTTTAGTTGAGTTAATACGTACCATGAACCTACAAGTACACCACTTTAGGGGCCCTGCCCTGGAGTAAACAGGTAATCGGGGCTTAGCACCTGCTGCTTCTGCAGAGTGTAGGGGGGTTGCCGGTCATCCCAAAAGCAAAGCATAAATCAAAACAAAAACAAGAAAACAACTTTTGGACTCGGGCTCTCTGAGGTGGCACTGGAGCAGCAGAGGAACCCTTTAGGGTTTAGGGTGTGTTAGGGTTTAGGGTTTAGGGTTTGAACTTTTTGGGTTTTGGGTGCCTAAAATGTGCGTCAAGTGGCCCAGGTCGGGCACTGACATTGCTCGGCCACAGCAGCATCGTGGGCAGCCTGCCTGGGTTATGAGTTTTTCGGGTTTCAGGTTAGCCCTTTGACAAAACCCTCAAACTCTAAACCCTAAGCCCCTAAAATACTAAAACCTGCAGCCGAGGTTTAGGGAGACGAAGGTAGAACCCTGAAGGGTCCAGTGTGCCAAAGAAGTGGGGGCACTTAGACCCCCAAACGGAACTACCCTAAACCCTAAACCCTAAACCCTAAAACCCAAAAACCCTAAACCCTAACAGTAACCCAAAACCATCCCTACAAAGGCACCTGCGCTTTTGGGGAACAATCACAGCATCACAGGCCTGAAATATAATCACGGTTTAGGGTTTAGGGTTTAGGGTTTAGGGTTCCCTAAATTCCTTTTGGAGGTCATTTTTTGAAACTCTATAGGGCGTCCCCAAAACGAATCACACAGCCCAAGGCAAACCTCAGTTCCCATGTCAACCCAGGAAAGCTTACTGCTTCTTAGTAGGGAATTAAGTGAATCAAGCAAGTAGGTGCTCATCATATCATTTTCAAAAAAAGGGTCCTC